ATTAAATCATTGTTTCATTTTTTCACATTTTGCAAATCATTTGCTACAAAAATCTCTTAAAAAAAATAGTTAACCCGCGAGATAAATCGATTTTTTAAATACTGATTTTATTAGTAAATTACTAGTAAATATTTTATAATTTTGCGATCAATTTTATGCACAAAATCTGATAATATTAAAATTACTAATGCATCTCACATGACTTTGATTAATTAGTACATGAAATACCCCAGTACGTTGTGAAAGGGTAAATCGACACTGAAGTGACTTAGGTCGATTATTGGACCCCCAAATATAGTTGTAGAAATTCGATTTAATGAATTAACAATAGATTACGGAAATTTGCACATTGTCTGGCACATTGTTTCGTTCCATGTTATATTTGGTAGTGTATACGTAGTGTTACACAATTGATACCACGTTGTTAGTTCTACTGGATTGCATGCTTTGTCTATCAATTTGGTTTCATTTGATGCTTTTCGCAATGAGGAAAAATTACTTGGATGTTCAACGAATTGAGCCAACATTCCGACACCGAGATGCCACTTTTTTTTTTAAAAAAAAAGTTATTGTAGTAATCATTCAATATATTATATTGTAAACATTATATAAAACTTTTACCTCAATATGACAATGAAAAGCCCAAACACCAATATTTCCGCTTGAAAACGAACTTTCACTTGACTTGTAGTTTATATATCAAATAAAATTAGAATATGCAAAACCAACCTTTTTGTAAACTTAAATGACTCACCCTCCATCACGGGGAACGGTGATAGTATCACGCGCAATCGGGTGGTCGAATGTTAATGTTACAATATTTCTAGAGCCTTGGCAATTATTATAAACAGAGCAATTATAACTATATTCCATAACCCAAAAGGAATGTCCATGCTAAGGATGTATTAAAAAGGTTAATAAAATATATTAGCGATAACAATCGCTATCTTTAAAAATCCTACCAAATGGAAAGAATGAGCGATAGTGTCTGAACCTGAAAAAAAAAAATAAATAATAAAATCGGTTATATAACTAAATAATTACATTATAATATCTGCCTTAAAAATACTAACATGTTATTATAACGTCAATAATGTCTGATGTTTTATCTAAAATTATAATGTTCAGTGCAGGATCAGGATAAATGGAAGAACCGTATTGTTCAAATTGTTCTTGATATTCCATTGAATAATGAAGTGTATTTTCAGTGTAACCAAAAGTTTCTCCGCTAAATGATCCAAATGAACTACCCAAAGATATTGAGCCGAACGTAGCATAATTATTATTTGGATTCGTCGTAGCGTTAATTGTGGTCATAGAAATTTCAAAAGCGAATTCTTCACAGCCTGTTGATTCATGGCAGGTTTTTGATTTATTTGTTTTTTGATTTATTTCTAGTTTTGGAGCTTTTAATGAACCATTTGCTGGTAAAAGCAAAGTATAATTAAGATCCATACAATGTAGTATTTCATTTTCTTTAGTCCATGGAGTAGTATTGGGTCTTCCTTCAGATTTATCATAACGAACAATTGCTTTAATCTCTTTGACTAGCAGCTTTATTTGATCGACAGACGTTGTATCAAGTCGAAGACAATCTAGGCTAGTTTGAAAACGCATCCAAAAATTGTTTGTTGTTATATTATTAGTTGTGGCTATCACAGAATATCTTTGTCCGACATTTATGGGTAAATGTTTGAATTGATCAGTCGAATTGACACGCGTTCCTTCAACCTCAATAACTTGCAACATATGATGGTCAATTGAAAAATAGTATAACGCTAGTGTTCTAAATACAATAATGAAAAATATGATGAATCAATTATTCGATTAGTATAAGAAGCATTTTTATTATTACCCTGCATTTAGTATACGAAGTCTATATTTTTTTCCTCTTTCAAAATTGTATACGTAATTTGTTTCAACACTACCGTTCACAGCTCTGTTATTACAATTATCTCCATTTACTTCATTTGCACCGCCTATTCCATTGAAAAGTATAGAGTGAGGAACTGGCTATTAAAAAAAAAAGGTTAAATGTATCATGGTTTGAATTTTTTTTGAAGAAGCGAATATTTAATTGTATTACTTCGGGAGTTAACCTAGTTGTAACATAACAATAATGATAATAATTCAATAAAACTCCTGCCCGACAATGATACCAGTCTGATATGTGCGCACAATACATGCAGTTATTATCGATTAAATCGACATCATAATTTTCATCATTTTCCTTATCCTCCTTAATAATTATATAGCCATAAAGTCCATCGACACGTTGAGATTTATAATGAGAATGACTGGATTTTATATTAAAATTCTGTTATTATAATCAACCTTAGCCATTAAAATTATTTGATTGCATACTTACTACCAATGGGTGCCAGGTTTTTCATTAGCATAAAAGTCGTGTATGAAATTTTTGCCTTTTTGAATTGGACATTGAGTTAAAGTCGGGACTCCATCCGAATAAGTGGTGTTTTTCATATGAAGTCCATGCCAATGGATTGAGGTTGGTTCGTCAAGTTTATTCCTTATTAAAATTCTAACATGTTGCCCTGGTGTAGGGATGGGTCCGGTCGGTCACGGTCGGTCATCGGTCGGTTATTGTCGGTTACCGGCCAATAACCGGTCGCTCGCGGTCGGTCATACGGTCAAATAACCGGTCAAGTAACCGGTCAAATAGCCGGCTAATAACCGATCAATTATCGTTTTTTTAATAGAAGATATCTCGATAACCACCTGTTCAAATTCGATAATTTTTTTTATTAGAATTCTACGAGTCAATAGAATTCAAATAAAAAAAAATTCATTGAATTCAGTCATGTGGTTATCG